GTATTAGATACTGTACAAATCCATGGAATTTATAAATTTTTTTTTTTTTGAAGAAAAATATATAATTGTTTTTTGGTGCATGCATAGTAATAATTTTAAAGTATATATCTTATATAACGGAATACAAAATCACACACAACAACAACAATATATTGAGATTACATTGCAAAATATTGAAATGAATACAAATGTCAAAGTAATCAACGTTCCTTTAGAAAGTACCGTTGGACCCACGCGGTTTCGGTCTTTGTCTCTTTGTCATTATCTTTCCTTCTTCTTTTCGCGGCGACCAGATTTTATTTGGGTATTAATTAAATTCAGTGTTATTTTCTTACAAAGCTACAATAATAATTTGGTGGTGTTTTTCTATTTATTCAATGAAATTTATGTCACTAAATAAACTCCCAAATGGGTTATAACTACAACTCAATAAGCAGAAGAGAATAAAAAACGGACTAGGAAATTAGAACAAGTTTAGTTTGGAACGAACGAAATGGACAAAGTGTAACACGAGTGAAAATGATTAACTCGTTTCCTAAATATTTGTAAATAATAAAAGGGAACCATTTAAATCCTTAATTAGCAACCATACAGATCACATTTAATTAGCAACAATACGGACAGTTTCCAAAAAATGTACCAATCGATCAAGAAAGATTCGAACACATCACTATCATCCAAATTGAATGCCTCAATAAGTTTGGTTGGTTACTAACAATAAAAAAGGTTATGTAAAACCCCACGCTTCATTTTCCATTTTGCGTAACGAAGAAACTAGTCTAATTTCAATACCTTTAAAATTCCAATCACAACTTATAACGTAACTGTATGTCTTTTAAAACATGACATAGTCTTTTCTAAGAAGTTGGTTCATTTTCATTTCCAGCATTTCAACTTCTTTGTAGCGTCTATAATGCTTTGCTTGGTTTCGAATCTCTGGCACTTGAGCAGCTCCTCCAGTATAACTGCAGATTCTTGAATATCGTTCTCGCCGATTACAGATTCAGAGCAAAGGCCAAAGAGCACCACGTTTACGTCATCTTCTTCTAGTTGCAGGCCAAATAAGCGATCGAAAACCTTACAAATACAAAACAAATGAGCTCAATTAAGAAAAAACTTGTGACAAATCCAACTCTAAATCCCGCTTTTGTGTAACAGTATATCTGCGGGGTAGTTTCAATACGGGGTCGTGAAAATATGCAGAGAGATTGAATCACATTAGCTTTTACCTTTTTCATTCTTGATACTACCATTTCTTTGACGGATTGTGACCTCGAGACCAAGTTCACTACGAAAAGACCATGCTGAGGGAGAGCGCGCTTAACTGAAAGAAGAAATGTTTCTTCGATAAACTCAGATGCGGGGCAGGTTAATCCGCCGCTACAGACAAACATAAAAAGAGAAAAATCAGCAAATCAATGTGGGAAAATTCATGTAATGTAATATTACTTGAGCCTTGTCCTTACCTTGAATCTGCTGAATCCACATCTATAATCAGAATGTCAGGACAAGTTCCACTGTTGGCATTACAAGCCTTGGAATTGCCACTCGAACTAGTCGACTGTGGTTTAGCCACGACGTTTGAGGTTTTCTCAGAAGAAGATTCTGAGTTTGTTATGTCTCTAATGAATTTGATCCCATCAGCAATATGCACCTACCATAAGAATGTGATTAAGCTGAGTGATGGTGTTAAGAGAATCGGAAGTTAAAAACATGTTGTATTAAGAGAAAGATTACCTTCAAGCGATCATTTTGTGAGAAACCAAAGTAATCCTTGCCAACATTAAGCATTACCGGGTCAAGCTCAACCGCCTATTCAACAAAATACCATCATCCAAGTTGCAATAGAAAAAGATCAAACTTGGTTCATCCTTTAAACTGAAATTACCTCAATATCGAAAAATGGCAAGCATCCATGGAGGAACATGGGAAGTAATCCTGCTCCCAGACCAATTATAACAGTCTTAACCTGAAATGCATCAGATATTGCTGGATCAGTACAAGGAAAAGATAAACAGTTCACAGCAGTTGCAACATGAAATTGATCTAGAGACAACGAGGCCATGACTGAATAATGCTCACCACTTTTCCACACAACTCAGCCTTCTTCAAATAGGAAGATACCAGTGTGAATCCAGAAATAATTCCAGTGTGGTAAGAGCTAGCTAAATAATCATGAGAGACCCTCATAATAGGCCCACTCGATTCTGAAATGCATACAAGCAAAGAGGAGCATGAAATTTTCACGTGCAATATCTATATCAGAACACCTTAAGAAGTAAGATTTTTACCTTGATTTCGTTTTCTATTTCCCTTTTGTTTTGATTGGGAAACATTTTTAGTTTTTTCTTTCTGAGATTGTTCAAGAATCTCACCATCTTCTACAAGCAAAGCTTCAGACTGTATCAAACCCTCGGTTCTTTTGAACACAAGGCGTCGAAATGCCAGATCGCTAGAAGGAGTTAAGCCTTCGGGATTACTAGGAGTGCTTTCATAAACCACATCTTCAACGACCACTTTCCCAGTCAAGAAAGACGTAACCTACAAATCGAAACAAATAGTTAGAAACAAAAGAGATCCCCATAACTATGTGTTTATACTAACCAGTAGTATTCATTCAAATTTTTCAAAAAATACTCGCGAAGACCAATAACGGAAAGAATGATCATATCCGCGAAAAACAAAAAATTGCATATATTTAGTAATAACACCTCGTGGACAGTACTACGCTTTTTGATCCCATCACTTGCCATCATATACCTGCACCACGAATTCAATTCAACAAATAGTTAATAAGCGATTATGAGGGAAGAATATGATTTTTTTATTTTGAAATTTAAGATTCTAGAATAATTAAGAAAGTTGAAGAAAAATAT